AATTTACCAAATGATAGATGATGCAAGAAGACTCCTAAACGTGAATTGAAATGTAATCACAGGTTTCAATGAAGAATCCATTTTTCCTTCGTTTTTTCTATTTTCCATTATTATCTGTGCAGTTCTTCGCAAACGAACATTTTAAGGTTGGGATATCATGCAAGCAGTGTTCGTTCGCCCCATTTCGGTCACCTCTTGGTAATCAGTGAGCGTAATTCTGAACATGTATCGTACACGAATATCGTTTATTGATGATTTCTATGAAAATAAGCGTCCAAATCCATATTTAAATTATATTGTGATAAGTATTTTGCAATATTAAACTGGCTACGTAGCACATTTTCTTTTATTGGAATTGTGGTTGTCGGATTTTGCGGTTACATATTTTTTGGATTTTGGTTTAGCTATCTATCTTTCTCTGTCTCATCTCAGAATTGTTTGCTGTTTCCCTTCGATAAAGTAAAAATTGAATTTTTCATTTGTGCCGGTTGAATTAACTTTTTTCTCCTCATTTTTATTGATGAAAGAAGAAGAATGCAGCAATGAATATTACTGTATCAATCGTATTGTTTGCTGTGAAGTGGAAACGAACCAATAGAAAGTCGATAACATAAATCGTGAACGGATCGATTTTTTACCCATGCGACAGAACGCAAAAAAGATGTTATCATTTGTGAAAATTAAAAAAAGAAATTGGGCAAATCTATTCGCTTTTCATTAAAAAAAAAACTGAAGATTTGCTATTGATTTAAATTCACAATTTCAAACTGCGTTATTTCAAATGGATGAAAAGTCAATTTCATAAAATAAATAGACACAGAAAAAAAGTGAAAGACCACATAAAATTGGAATGTCAAGGTTTACACAGTTCTGTCATTTTGAAATTAATTTCATTCATGCGGTTCGTTGGAATCAGAAATGAATAGAGCATTCTATAAGAAAGAGAAAGAGAAAGAGAGAGGGAGAGGGAATAATGATTCAAATAAATTAGTGGTTGCTCGTACGTTTTTTCTTACAATCGATTTTTTTCGTTTACTTTCCGAGATATATCAAATGGAAGCGTAAATTCAATCTCATTGTGTATACAACATTGATCAGGAATGATTTCGTCGATAATACGAAGGCGAAATGTAATACACCAAATAGAATAGAGAGTACCAATTACATTGAAATTTGTAGGTAAGAGCAATGGTTGTGAAACAAATAAGTAAACATGCCATATTATATCTGATGGATGCTAAAGGAAGTGGTAAAATGATGATTGGCATTCATACAAACACACTTCATACAACAATACGCCCGTAGGCCATTCTGAAAAATGAACATTAGATGCAAGGAAATGAACATTTGACGCGTGTGCTTATGTGTAAGTATGTGCGAAAGAGAGAGAGAAATGGATCAGAAGGTGACGACAACAAATCCTTCGAAAACAATTCCTTTACATATCAAACCATTCATTTTCGTCATGGGAAATACGGATGTAACAGTTATCGCATTACTTTTTAGACCGTACACATTGGTAGTATTAAACCTCATTGAGAGAAAGAGAGAAAAAAAAATCCGACAACAATAATATCTCAGCAAAAAGCATAAAGCAAGGTCCTTCAGCATTTTACTGAAAAATGATGTATCGTGTTATTATTTATGATTACGAAGAACGTGAATGAAATCCATAAGACAAACACCGTACAAAAAATGTTCATCAAAGCAACGAGTGGCAGAAATGGAACAAAATACTAAGAAAGATATATATAACAACTACCAAATAACAAGTGAATGAAATTAGAAAAATTAGTAAGTGAGACTTTTTTTTTGACGAATTGCAACGGTTGTGACATACCAAAAATATATATTATTTTAATGCCAAATGTATGGTTGAGTGCAACGCTTGGTATGGCGACGATATCAGAAATAAAAAGACGACGTAGAGTAGAAGAAAAAAATGGATAAAAAAAACTCCTATTTCACGTTTCAATCTTTATCAATTTTGGTCGGCTTAAGCGCCGAAGGTAAGGAAGAAATGGAAAATCATAGAATCGGAAAGTATTAGTGGCGCAAGGAAATAGACTAAATAAGATCTGTAAATCATTTTTCAATTTTACGATCCACATATTTTTGCCATAAGAGAAGGCGGTATAATAGGTTTTTACACGAAATATATTGTGTTTGTTGTAAGAATTCCTTTTTTCGGTCGCTCTCTCGCTCTCTCGGTCTTTTCATTTAGTTTAGTTTCGGTAGCTCCTTTGTCGGCACGTTCTGCTCGAAATACGCCCGCTGGCTATACAAAGGGAAAGTATACTTGGTATAGATTGGATAAAAAAAACAAACTGAAATTTAAAATATGGAAAATAATCAATGTGCTTATACGTTCTCACGTTTCGCCCGTGTTCGGTATAGATTTTCTGTACCTACTTAATATGGGCAAACGCTTCGAGTTATATATAAGTCAGCCCAAATCCAAATTACCTGAACACCGGTTTAAGCAACAAAAACTTATTCGAAATGAATTAAAACACGGTTTGATTTTATTTACGTAAATGCTTAGAATTATAGGCTCATTTTTATTTTTCGTACATAGTATATGTATATATATTTCTTTGTTCAGAGCAACAGATAACAAAATGTGTTAATTTTGAACTTCTATCTAATATTGAATTTCGATTATCAGAATAATATTACATAAATCTAGATAAATGTGATGTATGTTTTACAATTGGTGGGGGTTCATATTGAGAGTGAATGCAATTTGCTGGAGTAATTTCCAACATATGAGTATGCTTAAGTTTGGTTCGATCCCAATGCGTTCCCTATCTGATAAGTATTTTTATTATGTGGAAAATAGTTGTAATAAATCATCGATTGATGACGAATTACTTGAATTTAATATGCTCCGCTATATTGAATGTATACAATTTCAAAGTCAAGCAAAAGATACAGTGTGTACAGTAGGGTGTTTCCACATGAAAAATATTAAAAAGTGGCTATTATCATTTTGAAGAGCGTTAAATTCTGTATAAGATGATTTGATTTTTGATACTGATTGGTTGCCGATGTCACTTCCTGGACTAAAAACGCATTTGTAAATTGATTTCATGTCGCATTCACGCCAAAATCTGTAATTGATGAAATTATAAAATTGAACAAAATTAAAAATAAAATGTCTTACATACGTAAGATGAACTTTTCCGCACTGTGATCCACAAAATTCATTTATAACTTATCTTTTACTTGAATTTGAACTCACGAAAAACTGAATCTGACATTAGTTTTGCGATACACATAATTTTTGACACACTTTTTATATAAAAATTACTTAAAATGGGAATTTTGGAATGGAATCAATCCTTGCATGACGACGTGAAACTTGACGCAGGGTATTTTTTCACAAAAAGCCAACATTCTGGAAGTTTGAAAATATTTCAATACAATTTAGGGGTACTTCCCATACAAAATTTTCGTTTTTGGGTGAAAAATCCAAAATTTTGTTCGGAAGGTACCCCTAATATGTATTGAAATGTCTTCAAACTCTCGGAATATTATTTTTGTGTGATAAAAATAACCTGCGCAAAGTTTCAGGTCATTACGATATCATACAGGCATGGCTTCCATACAAAATCCAATTTTTTTGAAATATTTGTATGAAAGGTGTGTCGAAATATATTTGTATCGCAAAACTAATGTCATATTCGGTTTTCTCGTACCCAAAAACCCCCCAATACATATTTTTGGATGTTTAAGAATACATTAAATATCACTTTTGGGGGGAAAATTGAATTTTTCCCATGGATGGCCATGGGCATCACACCAGACATGACACGTTACTCTATCAACCAAAGTCGCTCAAAATTTAATGGTTTCTATTCCTCGGCACCCCCAATCATCCTGTGAAGTCAGATTTTGAATTACTTTTCTGGTTTGAAAGTTATCGTGTTAACAAATTTTTGCGTACAGCGTACAGCGTACAGCGTACAGCGTACAGCGTACAGCGTA